CCTATGATCACTCGGATAAATGAGTTATTAAATTACTAGGCTGATATCAGAACGCTCATTCACGCTTACTCAGGCACATATACCAGATTTCATCTAGACTCACAAAGAATCCCGACAAATAAGCATAAGCAAGTTTGGAAAACCTTAGACATATACATACGTGAGCAGACCCATGAACTAAATCGTAAAAAAGCCTTCATTGCAATTAAAGCCCAAACTTTTTAAATTTAAACACAATAACTCACCAAATGTACTAAATGTGATAAATAAATTCCAGTTGATTTTGTTATAGAACCTGGGTCTTGATGACAATGATTTGGAGATGTTATCCTTTGGTTGACTTCTTGAGTAGGTTAGTCTAGTCTAACGTTTCTCACCTTTCTAGACTTTATCTCTGTGTTGATCATATTAGGAGTAATACTTATTTATTGTTCAACATTTGTTGTCCTGATCTTGGAATAAATGGTATACCCTAGATAATTATTTGTGTAAAAAAAAAAAATATTTATTTAAATGGATAAAAAAAATACATATATGAAAATAAAAATATTTGCGGAAAGAATATTTATTTCTTTGCGCAATAAAAAAATAAGAATATTTATTTGCGCAAAAAAAAGTTTGTTACCTTTCTCAAGAATAATAGAAAGGAAGAATATTATTTTTTTCGCGTAAAAAAAAAAAACAAAAATATTTATTTGCGCGAAAAAAGTTTGTTACCTTTCTCTAAAGGAGGAAAAAAATAAGTGGATGTGTATGTGTGGAATAGAAGGATGTTTGGAATAAGAGGATGTGTAATAAAAAAAAAAAGAAAAAAGGACTATATAAATATTTTTTTTTTGTTGCACAAGCTTTTCATATAAAAAGTATAAATTATACTAATATTGTAATCAACTCTTGCGGACTTGCAAAAATGGAAAAATAGTAAAAAATAGTCTATTGTTTATACTGCACATAAAAGGTATAATTAAACTGTATATAAATCACCAACCAATATTTTAATAAGTTAAAGTAGTTAAACTTCAATCTTTATTAATTATGAGTCATCACTTGTGGAGACGCGTTACATATTATTTTGTTACTATATAACAATTTAAACCGCGCATCAATAAAATCAGTAAAAAAAAAATATTTGACATAAAAGGTATAATTAGACTGTATATCAGTCCGTCAAAATCACTAACCAATATCATTTCAGAATTTTAATAAGTTAAATTACATCTTTTACACAATCTTATAAAAGAGGTGTTACAACTGTTACATGTTATAAGACAATTTATGTTAGACTATACTGTAAAGTTGACTACCATCCTGATTTTCTTTTAATAATACTTGAATTCTCTTTACAACTTATTAATTTTATTTTAATGTAAAACATTTAATTTCTTTTAATATAATCAGGGATAAAAGTTTTGTTGACAAGTTATTCCTCAAACTAGATATTTTTCATTTTACACCTAAAAATCATGGTTAAAAAAATTTTACCTCGAAATAAAAAATGATATTATAGCGACTCAAAAACTCATTCTCAAAAAAATAATTTGTGTTATTTTTTATAATTGGATAATGGATTTTTATTTTACACTTTTTTTTATTATAAAAGGTTTCATGAAAATAGAAAGCTGGAAAAGGAATTAGACAAAAAGGATGAAAAGATTAAAAACTTGAAAAGGTGTAATTACTTTTTTTTAGTTTAATTGAATTCATTGAAAAAGGTAAAGTCAGTTACATTGAATATTTAAAAATGGAAGTAAAATCATCAAAAAATGAAAATCATTCAAACGAAAATGGTTCAAGAAACAAACTTCAAGATGATACACATCCAAATCCATTAATGTCAAATACTACTTATGTTTAACTAGCAATATCAGAAGCAACTACGCCCGGGTTCTTTAATGGCTCCTTCATAAATATTAAGAGATTTTAATGCAAAATATTTAGGTAGATTTTTCCATTTCGCACGATAAACTTTTCCAAAACCACCGATGCAAATTTCTTGAATATTTTTAAAATATTTATATTCGTAATGTTTAATATGCTTTTAGAAATAGCTTCATCAATCCATTTAAACCATTCATTCATTTCTGACATTTTGAATATGTACATAATATTATTATGGAAAAATTATTTTTTTAATTTACGGACACAAATTACACAGGTCAGAGGTACACTAAAAAAGAATGTGACTTTAATCACGTGTAATGAATTAGTGAGCGCTGATCATATTTACTTTATTTCACGTATTAAACAAATTAAGCATTTAAAGTTTTTACGAAAATCAAAAGAAAAAAAATACAATTTAAGATTAGTTAAATAAAAAGAATAACAAGAGGTAACTTCCAAAAATTGTATTGAATTATTATTACATAAAGAAATCTTGGAAGAATCTTTATATTCATGTCTATTTTACTTTGAGCTAATAAATGGAAAGATCCGTTGATAAATAATGTATTTATTCTAGATATAAAATTACTAAGAACGACAATTAAATGTTTCTATAATTCTCTTATAATCTCATTATTAACAAAAAAAGTTTAATAGGGACCTTTATTATTATAGCAACATCCATCTTTATTTTTAATTTATATATCCAATTAATTTCATCAAGAACAATAATGAATAAGACTATTATTTGATGATATTATTAATTATAAAAAATTATTAGGAATATCGATGATTATTTTGATGTTCGGAATTAAGTATCTTGATATAATTAAATTAAAACGTATCGAATTTTGATTGGATAATAATAAATCCGAAAATTTAATTTATTATATTAATAGAAGTTTGTCTCTAAGACTCAGACTAAGATGTCCGTCTTGGGAAAGTTCAAATTATAATGATGATATAAGTATTAATATTTTCTCACAAAAAAATTTAAAATTTATACAGAATTATAAAGCACCCTTCAAACTTTGTAATTGCACTTATTCAACAATTCAATATCAAATTTTATTAGGTTTCCAAAGTTTCGATTACAATGAGATAATAATAATTATAATAATTAAAAGGAGTTTATTTATCAAAACTTGAATTCTTTATTTACTAAATTTTAGCTAAATCGATAAATACCACCAAGACATTTTAAGAATTCTAAGATCCTAATATAATAGTAATATAACACACAACTTGTGACAATGTAACAATTGAAATAACATCGAAATCTCGTTCAAAAATTAAAAAAATTATTACTCGTGCCATTTGATAATGTATTAACTTACATTTATTAGCCATAAAATCATCATCCCTCTTTTTAATTAGTTTCACTTAATTGGTGAATGAAAATTTTCTTCAATTTATGAGAAGAAAATCAGTAGAAAACTTTTAAGAATATTTTTATTTTCATCAATTAACACATTTTATAAAAATTCAAATATGTCGTTGAAATGATTGTGGTGAGGTTATTTATTCTTAACGAAACATTTAGTAATGTTTTAATTTTTATTTCTATTCTAAATTCGGAAAAGTCTTTTTATTTCACATTTTTAATTTTTCACAAATTTTAACGTTAAAATAATTTCTTTTTTTTTTCTCTTGTAACTCACTCCAGTCTCTTTGGATGCAAGAATTATGGTAAGTGGTTAAATTTTTTTTATTGTTTTTTTTTCCTACTTATAAAAAATGAAACATCTTTTACTTATATTTTGTTCTTTTATTTTATAATAGTTTGGTGGCTGGTCTCTGGATGCTGGATTAAAAAAAAAGTATATCATTTTTTAATTAACATTTTTTATCATGCTTTAATTAAAAAAAACATTTACTAACATTATCTTCATTTTCTTTTTTTTTATAGGGTACAGTTTTGGCGTAGGTTATTCATTTTCATTATTTTTCTCAATAAAATGCCACTAGCTAACATTTCGAATTTTAGTGAGTTTTTTTCCTTGTTTTCTTTAATTCATTTACTCTTAATGAACTGTTATTAACGTTAACTGTTCTTTCCGGTTCCGATTTTTAAGTTTTGAAAACATTTTGAGAATTTTTTAAAAAAAATATCATTTTTCCACATTTGTATCTGAATGGGTAAGTTTCGAAGTTGGACTTCAAAACTTTACTTTTAAAGAAACATTATAGGTTTCTTTTTTATTTTCTTTTGTAGGGTTTGGATTTTATAAAATAGTAAGTTTTGCTATCCTGATGAATTTATGTTTTTTAGTTTGACCTTTGGAATTTTAAAGACATGGTAAGTTTCAGAATTATTTTGAAACCTTGACTTTGTATCAAATTGAAAAATGGTTTACATATTGTTCTAACCATTTTTTTTAGGGTTCAACTTTGTTTCATAATATGAGTTTTGATGCTATTTGAACCTCAAAATTTTTGAATTTTTTGGTTGAAGAAACAGATTATTAACTGTTTTTTATGATTTTTTTTGTAGGCTCACCTTAAAATTTATTATAATGGGTGAGAATGCTGAATTGAAGCTTTGAGTATATTCTATAAGGTAAAGTTGATATGAATGGTACATCAGTGATAGTCCCGAATTTGAAAATTATTTATATATGAGGAACAAATATTTCTTTGTTATATAAATATATAATATTGTTTTAATATTTTATCGAAATGGTTAAGAGTTTAAACATTTTTGATAATAAATTTAGTAGTTAAAAGGAGTTCAGGGGTATTAAGGTGATGAAATAAAAAATTAATTTCGTAACGGATTAATCGAAAAATTGATCTGCAATCATCTTAATGCGCAGTAACTGCAGGTAAACAATTATTTACCAGATTGTCGTCTTGTTCCCAGAACATTACTAAAAATTCAACGATTACTTGCACGATTTGACCACAATTTGTTTATTATTTGGGCACAATTTGATATAATTCAGCAAAGTTCTTTTTTTCATTTTTAGTTTTCCACTATGATAGTCTTAAAAATAATATGACTTCTTTATAATTGTTTTAGATTTATTCTACTCTTGCTAAAATTTAATCTAAAATCGCCTATATAAATGGTAAATTAAAAAAATCACTAGTTATGAATAATTATTTATAAAACTAATTAGACAACATATGTCATTTTATGGATATTTTATTCAAATAAGATATGGAACTCTAGTATTATTGAAGAATTAGTTTGTATAAAAGAAGAAAAAATTTTGAACAATTAGTAATGCTAAAATGTAAATTAGAAATGAAATGTTGCAATGCATATTATTCAATCTAAATTCAGTAATCATTACATTTTTGTAATTATTAATAATAAGAATAGTTGTGATAACTATTAATTAATTCTTTTTTTTTTTTTTTTATGGGAAAAGTTAGAAAAGCTAAATCAATTTTATCAAAATCATTTTATAGAAAATATCATAACTGGCTAGCAAGCAACAACTTTCTTTTATTTAAGCTTTAGATTTATGCTTCACCTTGTTAGTATTATCTTTTTATGATTTATTTTTTCCTATAATTAATTTTTTAAAAAATAGAAAAGAATGCAAGCATTAAATTATTACATTTTAAAAAAAATATAATTTAGGCCATACAAAGCCAGGTCTGTTTTTGTTAAATTTCCAAAAAAATTAAAAACATTTCATATGAATTTTACACGCAAAAAAAAAATTAAAAGCCAGGTTGCCAGGTGCCAGGTCATTTTCAAAATTGTTATGTTATAAGAAACGAAAAGTTAATTTTACATGACCAATATTTCTATCATAATATTTTTTATTTTAAATTGAAATGTCATTTAAATATAAAAGAAAATATATATAAAATAATTATATAAAATAGATAAAATTAAATAATTTAATAATTAAAATAAACTATTCTGAAGCTTTATTAAATTATTGTTTGCTAATTCATATCCTTGTTCAGCAGACTTTTTATACCAATAAATCGCTTTATCTATATCTTTTGCAATCCCATCTCCTAATTGAAACATTATAGCAAGATTATTTTGTGCACCATTATGTCCTAAATTTGCAGCATTTTGATAAAATTCAAATGCTTTTTGCTTATCAATTTTAGTTCCAATACCCTTATTATAACAATATCCTAACATCATTATTCCACCCAAATACCCTCCTTTAGCTGATTGTTTAAATAACTCAAAAGCTTTATCATAATCTTTTTTAACGCCTTTTTCGTCTTTATAATTAAGGCCGAGATTGTACATTGCCGTTATATTTCCATTATTTGCAGCTTTTTCATACCAATAAAATGCCTCTTTTAAATCTTTTTTAATACCCATTCCATAATCATAACAACAACCAATATTTAATTGTCCACTTGATAAATTTTTATTAGCTACTTTCTTATAGTATTTGTAAGCTAATTTTTCATTTTTTATAGTCCCATTTCCATAAAAATAACATTCACCAACAAAGTATTGTGCTAATATATGATTTTTTTCTGACGCATTAATGAACAAATTAAATGCTTTCTCATTATCTTCACTTGTTACAATTCCATAATAATTAAAATATCCAAGAATAAAAATAGGATTTAAACTATTTTGATTGTCTAACAACCAATTATAAATTTCTTGTGAATCTAAATTATGATTATTAAAATATTCAATAGTTTTCTGCTTTTCTGCTTTCCATTCTAGCCCTTTATTATTTAATTTAATAATAAAATCATTTATTACATCAATTATAATGTTAAAATCTTCAATTAGAAAATTTTTTTGTTTACTTAATATTATCATAGGATCAATTTCTTTTATATTTATTTTATCAAAATTTTGAATAAGTTGAGATAATTCTACTTGTAATACTGAATCATTATTACTTATAGAAGCCTCATTAAGTTCTCGTTCATTTGAAATTTGTTGGTTTTCTATGATTACATCTGATTTTGTAATTATTGCATTTAGCCAATCAACAACTTGATATATTTTTGGACGATTATCTGGTTCTCCATCCCAACATTCTAGAAATAAATGTAATTCAAAACTAGTTAAAATAATATTCAAATTATAAAAATATAAAATCTAAAATTTTACTCACTAGTATATATTTTTACATATTCTTCAGGAGTATTAGGAACAACAGTTTCTCTAAGACCTTGTGAAATTTCTAAAGCTAAGCCAATTTCATATTGTTCACCTTCAACATAAAAAGGAGGTTGTCCGCTAGATATCTCCCATAATAATACTCCAACACTGTAAATATCACTATTTTCATTTAATAAGTACAATTGTGTGGATTGGTTATTATTATTACTTTGTCCACTAAAGCTTTTTGGGTCGACATAAGGGACCATCCCAAATAATTTAGATTGAAAATTGGATGCTCCAATTCTTTTTGGTAATCCAAAATCTGCTAACTTGATTGTGTTATTACAGACTAGTATATTACAGGAGTGCTATTAAAGAAACATATATAAATTCAAATAAGTAGGTAATACAAGCATAATATTATTATTAAACGGACAAATAATACTAATCACGATGCACTATTCCTTCGTTATGTAAACATAATATGGCACAAGATAACTGGTATGCCATACTATATTTGTCGTCCCAAGTAAGCTTTTTAAAGTTTTTCTTTAAATAGTTTCGAAGACTACCACCATCGGCGTATTCCATTACTACCCAATAATTATTATAATCTTCTAATGATTAAAAGGAATAATTAATAAAATATATTTGGCGATTTTGCGATTAAAAGAATATTATACTATTTATTAAGGTAACTTAATGATACCTGACTCAAGTTTTGTCATTCTGTAGCAACGAATAATTTTATCATGAAAATCAACTTCACGTTGAATTTTTAACTAAAATAAAATTCAAATTTTTTAAAATGTTATATTATAACAAAATCATAAACGAAAAAGAATGTATTTTATATTAAATTACCTCACGAACAATCTCTTTCACTGTGATGTTATTAAGATTTAAAAAAGATTTTAACGCAAATAGTTTTCCTGAATTTTTATAATTTGCACGATATACTTTTCCAAAACCTCCGGTACCAATATATTGAATATTATTAAATTGTTTGTATTCATAAAATTTAAAATATTCTTTATCAACAACTTCCTCAATCCAATTAACCCATTCATTTGTATTCTCGGTATCTTGCATTTTGAAAATATAGGATGTATTGATTAATAAGTTAACAGTAAAATTTAAAAAAAAATTGTTGAAAGTTTTATTGTTTGCCTATTTATAATTTTTTTTTCTCCGATGATAGTTGTACAAGCGTACAGGAGTGATTAGAGTGATTTGGTACTACCTGTATTACCCTGTTACCAAACAAAAAGTCAATCAGTCGATGTTTGTACCGCAATACGCAGTAATTTCATTCATATAATAACGTCATAATGAAATTTGAAAAAAAAATTTACTATAAATTGTATGAATATTATTAATGTTGGAGTAGGAATAATGTATTTGATAATAGGTTTGGGTGTTAAGGGCAAAGTGGACAAATTTATGGTTGAAAGTATATACGATCGATTTGCTTAAGATCGACCTTTCTAGTATTTGGTTACGTGTGTTGTTAGCAAAAAAAAATAAGGGACGTAAAAATTATACTCTGATGGTGTAAGTGTTGAATTTGAAATGGAATATAGATAAAGAAAAGATAGCAACTCATAAAATATATAAGTTTTGCATTTAGCGGCTAAAAATTGACTCTTCAATTCAGTAATTTGATTTGGTTTTTGTGGCTTGAAATACCCTTCACATTTCTTTAACTCAAAAATCAATTAATTTTGAAATTTGAAAATTTTTCGAACTTTTAGGGCATGTAATGAGTGTTCTATGACAATTGGCTTTATAGGTGACATCGTAACTTATTCCATATTATAACGAGGTAATAATTTTGTTGATTTGTTCCATTTGTTAAATAACTCGTTAGAATGGATGGCATTGAATGGAATAGTTTTTTTTTCTAAAGGACTGCATGAGATTTTCTTCAGAGTGAAACATTGGATTTGTCTAAAAAGTTCTTTTTGATGTGTGATACATGCTTCTGATATAATAAATGGGCTTGGCGCGTGACGGTCATAAAAAGTCTTACCTTTTGTTGAAAGTTTAAATCTTGGTAATCACTAAAAATCCTTGCATAGCTAGTGCTCCGCAAAATTCGGGTCTAACCTGGATAATTTAACCGAGTGAATTTTAAATCGGGTCGGTACTAACAATTTTAATAACCTGTGACCCGCATGACCCGACCCGTCAGGTCGGGTTATTCATTTCTTTGACTTGGGTTTTGACCCGAATTAGACCCGGATGATCATTAAAATCACTGATCACATATTGATTATGCGTTAATATTGATTAATTTTATATAATTTTGTTAGATAAATGAGGTAGTATAGCGAAAATTGCTAGACACCTTGCAATTACAAATATGTGTATAAATTATTATTATTAATTATTAATATTACATTAACTAATAAGTCAATTTTGATAATTAATAAAGCAACCAGCGTTCCAGTAGAAAGATGGAACTGATTTGATAGCTGCAAAAAGATGTAGTCTTAAAGCAGATACAATTAGAGCATGCATGTGTTTAGAGTCCTGGCAGACATAAAATATAGTCAAATTTCTGTTAAAGCAAGTGATACAATTTCGATTTTATAGTTCAAATATAAAGCAATAAATAAACAGGAATTGAAGATATCTTTAAATTCGTGCTTAGCTTTTGTTTTAATAATAAAAAGTTGTGTGACCTACATGATCATATTTTAGATCAATTACCTTGCGTTATTGAAAAAATTATGTTTGAAAAAATATTTTGATATATCAGCAATAAAAATTACTGAAATTTCGGGTTTAACTCGGGTCATTTGAATTAAATATACTCGGGTCGGGTTAAAATCAGATCATTTCTATTTTTGCCAGGTCAAGTCGGATATATTCTCCAAACCCGACCAAATCTGACCCGGTAGGAGCACTAATTGTTTCAGTCTTTAAGACTGATTTTTTTTTTATATTATTTTTTTCGATTTTTTTTAAACTGTAATGTTATTTTATTTTTGAACAAAATTATGGTCCTTTTTTTCAGAATTTTTTTCAGTACTTAATTTTTATCGAATTCCTTTTTTTTAGAAATTTCCCTTTTTTTAAACCGATTTCTTTCTTTATCCTTTTTCTTTCCCCAAATTTTTTTTAATTTTTTTTTCTTTTTCTTTCAATTTTTTATTATTATTAAATAAAGAAATAAAATATTATATTAAATATATTTACAAAATTATTATTTTTTAAAAAAATCAATATACATGTAGGAAAATTGACCGACATACAATGTATAGTTATTTATTATATTCAGTTACAACTCCTGTTTTTAATTTCAAGTTATTACCTCATATTAACATATTAAACAGTTTAGAACACCCTGTCAGGGACTAAAACAATCTGTTATGAAAATACTTTTTCCTAATAAAAAATAAATTTTAACGTAATTAAAATGCAATCATATCATTTATTTGATCTTTGTTAAACAACAGAGTTTTTTACACAAAAGATATTTGACCCGAATCCAAAGCTGATAAAATAACTTCTCCATGATTCTCCTACAGACTTTAACCCAAATTTTAGATGAAAAGAATCATCATTTAACAGTCAATGCACAAGTTCCTTGCCTTGCTCTAAAGGTTATAATGTCGATATATAGCCAGCCATTTCACCGCTATGTAATTAACCGATTACATTTTGTTGACTTCCATTTTACCGATATGAAAAAATTACCTAGCTTCATTTCACCGAGATGTCATTTTAATGTTTATCGACATGAAAATTATCTGACTCGTCTTTTCACTGAAAATCATTCATACAGACCCTTCAAATTTCTCTGTGGCGCAGCAAATATGATTAGTTAAAAAGCTGCTAAATTCTTAAAAGCCACGCAATTTTACTTTGACCAACACGTTTTCATTATATTTTTTCTGAAGATGCAATTAAGTAGTTAAAAAATCGACATTCTAAAACTTGTGATTAAACAACTAAAAAAAGTATAAATCTAAACGTGTTTCCAAAAAATACCATTAAAATGAAATAACCGCAAAATCCATTAATTATGATCATGTTATTAATGAAGAAAGTATTACTACAGGAATTTTTGAGATACATTTAAATCAACTTGCACAATTTGTGCATAATCATTCATGAAGACTCAAAGAATACCCTTTTCTTTGAATCTTGACTTATCAAAACTTAACATTCTGAAATTGAAAATGGTAATGGATATAGATATGGAAATTAAGTAAGGATTTTTAAAGGAAAAAAATACTAACTAAAATTAACAAAAGTTTTTGTGCGAAATAATAATGAAAAATAAAGCGTGACAATCATAAAAAATTAATGGACACAAATGAACTTTATTGAATTTGAACTAATATGATTATTTTGTAATATGCAAAGAATGGAACTGATGAAAGCTTATGAAATTATCAAAATCAGACTACATGACTTGTTCATATTATCAAAAAGGCTTAATAACAATAAAAAATTGCATTAAATATTTGAGTTAGACCAAATTCTATAATAAATTTATAATTCTATAATAATAAGTTTTTTTCTTTAAGGTAAACGATAAAACAATATGATAATAAAGACTACGATCATCAAAAAATAGTAAAAAGGAAGAAACAATATTAATAATAATTGTTTAAGTGTAAAGAAATAGCCAGAGATTTAGAAGAATACCAAATGGTTTCCTATCAAAAAAAAAAAAAAAAACTATTTCCATCCATCTTATTTAAAAATGAACTGTACATTTGCGAGCATTGAAATTTAGTGTCTGAATTAAAAATTGTGTATAAGAAACATTCATGTCTCATTTATTTATATAAATTGTCAAAATTTTTTGTAATTCAGAAGCGTAAATTAAGAGTTTATTTTTAGTTTAAGTTAGAATTTTCATGTAGTATTATCATTATTAATTGTTATTTAAGCTTGCGAAGATTATAAATATATTTTAGGTTTTTTTTTCAAAATTAAAATAATTTATAACCTTAATTGAAATATCGGGAATTTTCAAGAAATTAATTTTTTAAGATAAAATTTTTTTTCTTACAAAAAGAGAAAATGATAAAAATGGGAAGTGGTTTGAATTTTGAGCCAACTGTTTTTAATACAAAAAAAGAAAAAGTCAAAAAAAAAAAAAAAATTTAAACGTTAGTACTAAAAGTACCAAAGTATCTGAGAGTTTTTTGTCCAAATCAGGAATTTAAATAATTTAATCCCAATTTTCATTTTCAAGAATATAAATCTCCGTTACGTTACATCCTTGACATCCTTTTATGGTAAACAAATCAAATATCATATATAAATAAAAAACTAATCTTTTTTTTTACGATCAGTGACCAAAATCTTTTATAAATTCTTCTTATTAAATGACCTAATACTTTATATTTTTACTTGTATATGTTTGAATTATTCAATGATGTTAAAATTAATCTTAGTTCTTGAATAATTTTTCAATATGTGAAGATTAATTTATTATTCAGATAGAATAGATTGATTACAAATAAGAACCTTTAATAATAATTTTCAAAAGAATTTAAGATGATGTAGCGAAACGATCGATCACGTGACCAAAATTCGGCCTAATCACGAGGTGACGATCAATGTTCGAAATGTTGCATATGTTGCATATATGTAACATATCAAATATATGCAACATATCAAATATATGCAACATATCAAATATGTTTAATTTATTTAATATATTTAATATATGCAATATGTTAGATATTTTTAGTCTGGTATTTTTTCATATATATAGACCTGTAATTAGATCTGTAGTTGAATGAAATTGAAGTTCAAGTAGAAGAGTTTTCTTAATAAAAATAGTTCTAATGATAATATTAAATAAACTGTTGTTTGAATTTAACGAAATATAAATTTGTTATCCTTTATTCGTGTTGGGAGTATATGCCGACGTTGTCACCCCCGTCTGCCACCCGGCGGTAAACAAACTTCCCTGCTTTAATGTATATTCGTTCTCCACGAAACATTAATATTCTTGCTCGGTTTAGTTTTATTACTACTTAACTTTCAAATTGCGATAGCTCTCGCCACGATATTTCATCCATTATCTTCTTTCAAAATACGATAGTTCTCTTTACAAAAGT